TTATAAGGTTTTCTAGACCCTTATTGTATTAAAAACTCGCAAAAATAGCGTTTATCAAACTTAATACTCGTTAATAGTAAGTATATTAATACTAATAACGATTGCACAACTCTTTAAGCAAACTTATCTCCGAAGTAACGAAAAAAGCTGAAAGGCAAACAAACTTCCCAGTAAATGGGTTAGATCAACAATTGCAAGAACCGGGTACCTAAAAAACATAAATATTTACATACATTTGCACGCCCTGGGAGTAGTGTTAACCTACTTTGCGAATTATTAGATGTATGCATATTATGCAGATTTCGAACCTTAAATTAACCATAAATCAAATTAAATTTAAAATTAATACTATTTTTATGTTAACTGCATATTATGTATGTAAATTAAAATAATAAATAAATAGGTAAGCTTGGTCATCTAAATTATTATTGTGTGGTCTTCATATCCATATTGGTTTGAAAATTCCAATGCTTTCTCTTTAAATTGTAAATTCTTAAAGAAAGTTAAAATGTGTTAAAAATATTTACATCCTACAACTCATTAATGTTTAAAAAATCAACTAGGTAGTAGTTTTATAAGTAAATCTGTAAAAAAATCGGTTAAAATGTACCAGTTATTTTTTAAAAGGGAAAAAAAATTGGTCGATGATGTACAAGGCGGGGCTTAAATACGTCACTTGATGAGTGTTTTTAAATCTTTACCGTGCTTTTTAATTATCTGCTGCTAAAATTCTTGTTTTTGCGATGCTGTTGGATGTTAACTTGCTCTATTTTTTGTTTAACTTGTTGTTTTTGAGTTCGGTAAGGTTCGAATTACTTTTCAGTGTTCAAATTATTGTTATTGCGTTCTGTTAACCTGTTCTGTTTGTTTATTATCGTTTTTGCATTGCGTTAACTCGTTTTGTTAGTGTTTTAGCTTGTGTCGTGCCATTTGCATTTATTAAAATGCGGTGTGGCATATTTGGATGCAATTCGGACAACCAGTCCAAGAAAAACCCTTTAAATAAAAACATTAAATTTAATAGATTCCCGAAAAACAGTGGTTAAATGCCACAAAAAGAATAGACAATATTAACGTTAAGACCGCTTCTATTTTCTATCAACAGTGACTATAAGTTTAATTTAAAACACCAACGCTTACCAACTAAAAAAACCAAGTGGAGCTAACCAAATAAAAGTTTAAATTATTTTTAAGGCAGCAGTTTAATTGAAAAAGTGGTTATTTTGAAAAAACTGATTTCGACTTTTTTTCTACGATAGACCGTTTCGGAATATTAATATTATTAGCCTCAACGAAGCCCTTAGAAATTATTTATTATTATATTAGAGCACAAATAACTTAAATTTCCTAATACAATAATGAGATACATAAGACAATTATCTTAGCCGAGGCTGCAGATCTGAGCAAGGCAGTTAATATGCTTTCTCCGCCGTGTTGTATATATTATTTTTTTAAGCGTTTATTAATTCTTTACTTACATTGAAACTCTCGAGGTTGCTACATTTTGACTGGTTTACACATATGTAATATGATAGGTTATGTACATGAATTTATTCTACAGTGACCTGTAAGTTTACATTTTCTTTGCTTTGTGCTTTCTAAACTGCGTACAAATATGAACTCTTTCTATATAGGCTTATGAGCAGGGCCGGATTTAGGATGGGGCCAGCAGGCCAAGGTCCCGGGGCCCCCACCAATGCAATATGTAGCTTTTTAATGAAACGAATATGGAAAAAATTGTCGAAAAAACAAAAAATTGGGTCGGTTATACCGCGCGAATCCTGTAATTTTCGATTAATTTTTCGTAGATCTAACTCTAATTTTTCGCGGATTTTTTATCGCTTATCCGCTTCAAATCAGAATGTAAATTATCACACTCAGTTTTGGCGCGCGAAGACGTTTTTATATAGTCTATAGTCATAAGTTATGACTCATAACAATTTTAAGCAGTTGCTCCTTTAGTGCTTGTAACGTTTTTATAAATATAGGCAAACAGTCAATTACTTATAATCTAATATTAAAGTTAGTTTTGGACCCAGATTTTTATTGGTACATTGGAGTGTTGTGGAATATTTTCCGGTGTTTCCGAAATACTGTTTCGTGCTTTCTTTTATTGTTTGATTTTGTATGAAAAGCAGACAAATAATACGACTTTTCATGCACTTTTTTCAGTTTGCGTTAAGTATTAAAAATACAAACAAAACATAGATCAATTTATATTTTACTTGAGTAAAATATATTTAAGGTTATGTTCGTATTATTCAAAATATATAAAATATAAAGTATATAAAAACACTTTCATTCACAATTATATCTACTATCTACGTTTTTATAGTTTTGCATACGAATTTATAATTTCTTAGACTTGGGTAAAATGTATATAAGGTTATGTTCTTATTATTCAAAATATTCAGACTTGTGGTGACAAAGTTCCTCTCATCAAAATATGAAAAAAAGTTCCTATAAACACGTGTCCGAAAATGCTTCATTATCGAGATACAGGGTATTTCGTTTAAAAAAAGTTTTTTATTTATAGCTTAAAAACGCTTTGGCCGATTTTATTAAAATTTATATGGTTTATTAAATAATAAATGATTCAGGGATAATAAAAAAATCAGTTCCTCTAGCTTAAAAATTTACCATGAGTTTTAATTTCCCAAGTGTCAAAATTTTTAGAAATATTGAGGGCCCCCACCAAAGTCGGCCCCAGGGCCTCAAAACTCTTAATCTGGCCCTGCTTATGAGTGTTATAATGTGAAAATTGTTATAGGCCTGCAAATTAAATTTATTACCCTATTTTTTACTCCTTTTTATTCCTATTATCTCCGCCCATGCCTTCAGAGAAAGCATCTGTCATTGGCATACTGTCATTCTTATTAAGTAAATGTTATTTAGTGTTTGTTAGAAGGTAAAATACACTACCTATATACATTTATATTTCTATGTTATTTGGACGAGAAGTCCAGTCTTTAAAAACCCCGTTGGAAACAATTAAAAAATTTGCCTACTGTCAAATCTAGTTATCACTTTCTACCTTTAATAATTGTCCGTTTTATGTATTGTTTAACAAATTAAATTATGCGGCTGAGAAGTGTCCTTTGGGATTCGCTCAATTGTGGGCCACCGCCATGCGTCGGCATTCAAATTTTGAGCTCAGCACAAAAATAATCACTATTAATAAATTTAGAATGTGAAAAGTATGCAAACACATTTTAGGAATGTTAAAATATAATTGTTTTAGAATGTTAGGCACAGGGGCGTATAGCGAGCCCCCCATGACTGGGGGGGTGAAACACTCAAAATTGCCGACTGATAATTTATAATTTGCTGACTTGTTTACTGACTAACTGGATATACGTTTAAAATTTGGGTAATTTTAAAAGTCAATAAATAAAATTAACTTAAAATTTATTTCCTATTTATTTTAAAAATATTTTGCGTGTGTGTGTAATATAACATATCTCCTACTTGATTTTAATTATGAAAAGTATTAAAATTATTATAACTTAAGGTTTATTTTTATGTTTGAACTCGACAAAGTTTTAGTTTAGACCATCTTTTTAATCCACTATATCCTTTTCAGAATATAATATCATAAGTAAATTTAAACGGTCGTCACCCATCGTAGTTCGCAAATGATTGTATACTAATTAAAGTTTACTAAAAGAACGTTCGCTGGACGCTGACGTAACGGGTGATGTTAATACTAAATGTACCATTTTATAAGCCGTGAGAAGAATATTTTTTAGGCTAAATGCCACTTTTGCAATGTCATCAAAGTTTTGGCACTCTGTACATCGATCTAAAAGAATTTCCAATTCGGCATGGATGCATTCCGGAACTTCCTTAATAAATTGAATAAATGTAATTATGCTAACCAATTCAAAAGTACAATTACTTCTATTAAGAGGTATTTTAAAAATTTTATGAAATGGTTCAAGAAGTTTTATAAGTTTTTCTAGTTCTTCTTGAATACATGAGGTAAAAACATCCAAAACAATTTTAAATTCCTTACGGTAAAATGTCAAAAAATGTATTTCGGCTGTAGTTTCGGGTCGCTCGTCAACTTTTTTTGGGGCACGATGAATTCTATGATCTCTTTTAAAATCGTCTTCCGGACTGATGTTTTGCAAAAACAAGCAGCGCTGTTTAACAAATCATTCATTTTTGTAACGTCATTAAGCTCCATAAAGGATTTTATAGTGCTCTTCATTATGTTCATAGCATCAACCACATTTAAACTACTAGCCTCTAAGATTTCTGTTAATTTTTTTAGTTTAAACATAACATTTTTATTAAAATATAAACAAGAATTAAAATCAAAGTGACGAATTTTTCTGTATAGACCGAAAGCAGTTTCAACAAAAATATTTACCCGATGGGCTTAGCATGGAACATAGGGAATGGTTTTCTGGCATAACTCAGATAATTTTTGATGGGTCCCTCTATTAAAAGATAACTAATTAAGTATGTTCTTTTTGTGAAATTTACAATGTGAATTATAACATTTTTTAAAATGTTTTTTTAAGAAATTTTGCCGACTAAAACCCAAAATGGTCGAAAATGCCGACTAAACAAAATAAAGGGGGGGTGTGACACCCCCCCAAGCCCCCCCCTCGCTTCGCTCCTGACTTAGGCATTTAAAAAACGAACGTATTTAAGAAAGCCAAAAAAAATAAATAAAACAAATTTAAACCATATTCAAACTTACTTGGAAATGTTAAAACAATTAATATTAATTAATGTCCATTTAATGCAGTTACTTAAAGGCACGGTAAAACTTTTTATGTGCAGCATACAAATATGACAGATTTCTTTGATCTAAGTTAGCATAGTGTTTTTAGATAGGTATATTTCTAAATAATTTTGCCAGTGACCCCAAATAAACTTAATTACTTCCCGGGAACTTGCGCCCACCTGTGCTAAAATCCAATTGTGAGAAAACAACAAGTGGCAATAAGTCCTAATAAAACGAAGTACCTAATTCGAAAATAATTTACCTGCTGCTGTGGTCTTGAAAATTTCCACCGTCGACCAGGCGCAACTTGGCGAAAAGGACGGCAGTGATTAAGGGCACTTCGAGCAGCTCCTCCAGGCAGATTTCCACTTGAAACTTGTACTTCTTCTTCCTCGTCATAAAGGCCGCCATACCGGCACCCCGTCCGTTTGTCATGCAGGACTCCGTTCAGGGCATCGCAGCCGCATCCGGAAACGCACACTCGATTAACGCGGAAGCCCGAACGATTCGGTTTTCAAGATTCTCCGAACGTACGCACTGCTGTCGGAAAAACGGAAGCTTTATATGCACCGCAATTCACTCACGATCTTTTCAAACCTGAAAGCAAACGATTGCTGTGTTAAATAAATACGATGACATTTGTTCGTTTTTTAGGTATTGTTTATTACAAATTTTTTAAAGTTATGTTAGTTATTTGTTTATGTAAATCAAAATTCCAAGACCTGCTGATTTGGATTATTACTCAAAAAATTTAATTATATACTCACAGGCAAAATAATCGATCCACACAAATTTTCGATGAATTTCAATCGCAAATAACTTTTTTATTTGATGTCGGATTTAAACGATTATTAAAGAATATTGTAGATATATTAATGGACAATCGCTCACATTTTAAAAAATTACTACAAAATAGACGTACGTTTATAATATACAGGTTTAAACAAAAATATGTTTTTTACCATAAGTTTGAGACCACTCTGTAGAGTGGCAAACCCGTATATTGTTCTAAATTAAGTTTTATTTATCAAGTCACATCTATTCTTAACAGTTTTGTTTTTGGTTCCCCTCGATATATTTATTTTTGTGGAAAATATGGATTTTTTTAAAAAACATTGCAATTTCCAATATTTTTCTGTCATACATGTCATACACGGCTTTCAAAAGCTATCAAATTGTTTTTTGCAAATTAATGTTTAAATTTTGAGGTGTCTTCTCACTTTTAAAAATGGATATGTCCCTGACTGATGTTGCCAGAGCCATTAACTTAATCCAGGATGGACGGTCACAGTATTATGTACGTGGCAAGTGTTTTAAACGTCACAAGAAGTAAAGTAAAAACATCAGTCGGAGACATTTTTAAAAGTAAGAAGACACCTCAAATTAACACATTAATTTACAAAAAAACAATTTGATAGCTTTTGAAAGCTGTATGACATGTCCAAGTATGGGATGATTCAACAAAACTGTCACTGTCATCCTCCGTAGGCTATGGATGGACCATAGCAACCTTAGTTCTTCATACAGGAAAAATATTGGAAATTGCAATCTTTTAAAAAAAAATCCATATTTTCCACAAAAATAAACATATAAACTGTTAAAAATAGATGCGACTTGATAATTAAAACCTAATTTAGAACAATATACGGTTTTGCCACTCTACAGAGTGTCTTAAACTTATGGTAAAAAACATCTTTTTGTTTAAACGTGTATATTATAAACTTACGTGTACTGTCTGTCCACTCTAAGTTGGCTGAACTAAGGAATTTTGTTGTTTAGATATTAAAGAATTGTCGTACTGTGTGCTTTTTAAACAGATTTTATATTATAAATAATACTAGTATATAATATGTACTAGTATTATTTATAATATAAAATCTGTTTTAAAAGCACACAGTACGACAATTCTTTAATATCTAAACTACAAAATTCCTTAGTTCCGCCAACTTAGAGTGGACAGACAGTATTTTTTTGTAATTTTTAAAATGTGAGAGATTCTCCATTAGTGTATCTAAAATATTCTTTAATATTTGTTTAAATCCGAAATCAAATATAAAATTTAGGTATTTGCGATTGAAATTCATCGAAAATTTGTGTGGATGGATTATTTTGCCTGTGAGTGTATATTATTGTTATGTATTTTTATGTTTTGTAATATTTTCTTGATAAACACTTTCAAAATATTCCATTCTATTTATGTTTGTCCTATTGTGTATTAGTGCTTCGAAGGGGACTTTAAGCTCGCGGTCCGTTCCTTCCCCTAATCCGCACAAGCCATTCAGTTGGCTTCTGGGACTTATTAGGAAGTAAGGGTGGAATCAAAAGAGCACTTTGGTATTTATACTTTCAAGGTATATTTCTCATTTGTAAAATTAACTAGAAAACAGAAAAACTTGTATTTTGTATAACATTTTAACTGAAAAAAATTGCTTTTATACATAGTTAATAAAATGTAAGTAATTCTGTAGGCACTACTAAGTTGAAAATAACTTTATTAAAACAGTAACATTTATTTATATTCAGTTAAAAATTTATGTTTTGAAAATCGGATATAAATGTTTAATTCAATATTTTTTTTAAACAAAGTTCTTCATTACTTGGCACTGCTAAAATGTACCCTGTATATAAACAAGTTTTTAACTTTAAAATCATGTTTAAAAATGTCTAATTTCTTTTCAAGCAAAAATACATAAGACATACTTGTAAAGTTGACATTGACAGTATGGCTTACAAATGGCATGCTTTACTTATAACAAAACATTTTATATTGTAGAAATATACAAATTTGATCATATTAAGATAAAAGAATTATAATAAATATAAATTAATAATAATAATAGTAGTAGAAATAATGATAATAACTATAAATTAAGTGATTTGTGACACACTCTGTATTCCTTTATACCGTATATATTTATTCAGCCTATTATATTACATATTTTATTTTAAAGGTCCAAAAGAAACCTTTAATAATTTAAGAATCAATCTAAAACGTTAAAATAATATTAATTTTCTTAATAAACTTATATCAACAGTTTATTATTGTTTCAAAAATAATAATTTGTTCAACATTATAGAACATATTTTATTAAAATTTAGTAAGTATTGTTTTTTTTATAAGCTAGCTACCACAGTTGGGCATTAAATTGGTTATTCTGTTTTAAGAGAAAAAAAGGTACGCCAATGACATTTTAGAAATAAGCAGTCGAAAAAAGTCATCTTGAAGTATTTTCTTAAAATATATCGATTTACAGTAAAATTGCAATTCCAAATCACAATAAATTTAAAATAATATGCCCTCCATTTTTTTTATTGAAGTTGGTAGTAAACATTTTGAGCAACTCCGTTAATGATTTAAATTTTTGTTCTTTAAATAATTTTTTGTACTTTTATTTTTAATTGTAAGTTTCTAAAATATTTTTAATGTTATTTTTAATTTAGTTTATTTCAAATTAGGCATAGTTTATTTTTTGTTATAAATTACTTCAAATGAATTCATTACCTACGTAAAATTTAACGTTTCCTTAGATCAACTAATTTTTAACTTAACATTGATTTAACTTAAAGTAAAATTTCTTTTAAAATAAACAGTTGTAAACATTATCAAAATAATTTAATTCGAAAATAATAATTATTATTTAATTATGTAATGAAATTTTGTATTAAATAATTTAGGTATATAATTAATTATATTAACATTCATATTCGGAGTCGTCAAAAAGTACGTCAACAATTTGGGGATTTTAGACACCCCCTCCCTTTTATATGGTCTAGACCACCCTCTCCCCCCCCAAGGTCACACGAGAATAAATATTATTATTACTATAATTGAAATATTATTTGTTTGTTGTAACGTAACGCACGATCCAGACCCCCTACCACCATGTCACACTTCGTCACAAACGGTACACCTCCTTTCCCCTAAACGTGTGACGTACTTTATGGACGACCCCTTTTGTTGTGACAAAACAGTTTTTATAACTAGAATTTTAAAATAAGTACCTACTTATTTCCTTTTTTGTATTTAACAGTAAGTATTTACATTAACACATAATTCCCCATAATACGATTTGTAAAAGTCGATTATGCTTGTGCAATTTGTCAATTTGATTTTTTTGTAATAATCCTAGGATTTAAACAATTATATAATATTATGAATGGGAGCGCATCAATATTGCGATTTTTAAATTTTTCTAAAAAGTAACTACAGTAGTTCAATGACATGCTTGTATAAGTTTTCAATAAATTTTGTTACATAAAAGACATGCTCATTGCATATACACTGTATCTATTCTAAATTAGATAGACTCAAATCAATAACCTATAGGTTATTTTTTAAACATTTTGCAATATTAAATTTTAATTAAAATTAAAATTAATCTTAAGATAAAGGGGCTTTTTACAATTAACAACTTTTTTACTTGTAATGATTAGGGTGTTTAAAAAAAATCGACTTTTTCTTTTTCTTCAAATGGTCAGCAAATTCTTTTAGAGGATGTCAAAACAAAGATCTTGTTAAAATTTGAGCTTTTAATTTGAAGATTTAGAGGTCGCGGATCGCAATTTTTTATTTCCCATTTAAATAACATAGGAATTTTTTTTTTTAACTTTGGAATTTTATACGTCTATATCGAATCAACTTATGGCAAGGAACATCTTAGATTTTTATAGTAAATTTAACGCTCTACAAAAAAGGTCTCCTATCATTTTTCTATAAATTAATTCCTTCCAGAGTTATTCGAGGCCAAAGTTTGATTTCCATCGAATTTTCGCGTTTTTTTAACATATATGGTACAATTATCATTATACGGGTGTCCCGAAATTAGGGGAACTTAAATAGTGCAATATTCGTATAAAAATAACACTTTTTTTGTTTAATAAACATGTATCAAAAAATGCTCCCTAAAGGAGCTACGGCCCCCTGAATAGGAGCCTAAGAGGATAATTTTTTTTAAACTATTCCTAGAGGGTTGAACATGAACAAATGAATTTTCGGTACTTTGGTAATTTTGACATGCTGAATCTATATCTACGATCAGAACTGTTAAAATTTAATCATAGGCGTAACATTTGGAGGGGGCAAAGTTACAAAAATAGCCCCAACTTTTTTCTGGGTTAATAATTTAATTTTTTTTATGAAATTATGAGAATTTATAGTTTTTTACGAAAAATAGGTACTCTTGATTTGAATTGCTCAGATGCACCATTTTCGAGAAAAATGCATTTATATATAAATTACTCTGCATATTATACACATCTCATATTTTCATTAAAACTTTGTAGTAGGCTTTGAAAGTGACGTTTTTTTGTTTTTTTACAACACTTCCTATGTTTCAGATATAAATATGAGATTTTTTTACTACATGATGCTAAAAGTTGAAAAAACGAGAAAATTCGATGGAAATCAAACTTTGGCCTCGAATAACTCTGGAAGAAATCAATTTATAGAAAAATTATAAGAGACATTTTTTATAGAGCGTTAAATTTACTATAAAAATCTAAGATGTTCCTTGCCATAAGTTGATTCGATATAGACGTATAAAATTCCAAAGTTAAAAAAAAAAATTTCCTATGTTATTTAAATGGGAAATAGAAAATTGCGATCCGCGACCTCCAAATCTTCAAATTAAAAGCTCAAATTTTAACGAGATCTTTGTTTTGACATCCTCTAAAAGAATTTGCTGACCATTTGAAGAAAAAGAAAAAGTCGATTTTTTTTAAACACCCTAGTAATGATACATGGTAATATAAAAGGTACCTAAAATCATATTACCACCTGTTAAAGTTACTTATTTTTCTCACATCCTGTATAAACCCCACCGCTTCATTAATTAAATTTGCATTAATAAAGTTTATCTAAATAAATTGTAAATATTTAAAACATTTTTTTAAAGTAAAGGGGGTGTTAAATCTTAAAATAGGCCAATAACAAGGTCAATTAAATAATTTATTTAAGAAAAATCTCAAGAACATTTCTGAAAGCGATATTGGAATCAGCAGGTCAAAAACCTTAAAATTCGCATAAAATATTTAAACATTAATTTTACAACAGACCTGTTGTGGGTTAAGCATATCTAAAAAAATCGTAGTCTTTATAAATTGCATATGTACCCATATTTTTTAACACCTTTAAACTGTTATTGAAAAAATTAAAACACTTGTCATACCATGTAAAATTCCATATCTGCAGCTTTAATCTGATCTTTTCAATGCAATATTACTATAAAGAAAGTTTATAAAGCAGTTAAACCTGTCTAAAATATCATTCTTAAATAATTTATTTAAAAACATGCAATTTTAAAACTTGGGAAAACACTCAACATAAAATTGTAATCACGTAAACAAACAAGATTTTAATGTTTTTTTTCAAGTTAATTGATACCCACCTAAATAAATTTAATCACAATTTAAATTTAACAATTATATTTGGCACAAATATAAAAATTATAACGATTTTGCGTATTAGGTAGGTAGGTACATAAATATAAAAATAATAAAAAGTACTTATTAATTTGTGCAATATAAAACAAACTATTCATCAATTGTGTGCAATTAAAGAACATAATTACATTTTTAAAACCTAAATCACAAAAGGGCAGGCTTAAATATAAAACAATAATTACCAGTTAATTTCAAATAGCCAGAAATACACTAAAACCAACAATTTTCATTTAATTTAAATAGAAAACGAGTTTTTAGCACAATAAAGGCACGAACACAAACTCCATTATAGAAATAACTGACAAGAATGACATTCAACGTCAAATAAACCTGTCTTCTTCTTCTCAATGTATACCATATTTTCCATTGGCTAAATTCTCATCTAATAAAATATAGAAGGGAAAATGGCTATAGGCAACCAATATTACAATAATGGTAAAATAGACTGCGTAGGACTCATCACGTGACTGATACAAATAATTAATGTAAACTTTTCCAGCAAACAGCGATTTAAAAAAAATCTAAGCACGACACTGGATTCACCACCCCTCAAAACGACCCTTTACTAAATTTTATTAAAAAATTTTAAGTAGAAAAATGCACAATAACTATAAAAATTTATTCAATCAATTAATTTTATAGTAATAGCACCATGTTACCAGAGATCTCTGATGTTACTAGTTTAATTTTATTTCAATGTTTTTTCTTGGATAACTTAACAGAATAAATGTTTGTTATTATTGGGCATTTTTCTAATTTTTCAATAAAATTTAGTATTGGGTCGTTTTGAGGGGTGGTGAATCCAGTGCCGTTTTTAAATTTTGTTTATAAAAATCGCTAATATGAATTCATAAAAACTGACATAGTAGGCCTTGTATTTTTAAAAAAGTGGCGTTTTTTGCTCCAAAAATAGAGTTTATCAAGATCTACACTTTAAAACAAATCCGGTTAAAATCGCACAATAAATAAAGATTTTACAGGGATGAGTCGCAAACAAATGGGTCACTGTATATTGCATTATTTGTAGAAAATAGGACGAATTAGCTTGACACTGAAAGAAAATTAATCTTAATTATTTGTATCAGTCACGTGGTGGGAATTTCATGTGTGGAGCATTCTCTAGGGTGTGGAGATAAAAAAAAAGTTTATAAGGTTTAAAACATTTTTTTTTAAATAAATTAAGATACAAAACGAAAGCAAAAAGTAAACAAAATATATTTTCTATAAACTTAACATAACATTTGAAAAAACTGAAAAAATGAAATATAAATTTTTTAGTTTGTGTTTGATGATTGGGGTGAATTTTCCCCTTCGTTTTCGGAAATTGGTTCCGGCGGAGAAAAATGATTTGGGATTCCTTGAAAACTGTCTTCCTGTACTGAGTTTACTTCCGGTTCAGGGTCAACTTGGGCATAATCAATTGTGTCGTTTGACGATTCAGAGTCTGCGTCGTCCTCTTCATCGTCAATGTCAACTGCTACTATAGAGGGATGAACACCTAAAAAATACGTATTAAAAAAATAAATAAATAAAATTAAAAATGCACAATAGGACGGACACGCAGGATTAAATTTGTATTCCAAGTTTCATTGAAAATAAAAAAGTTTCTTTTATTTTAAACTTAACGTTCTAAAATCCTATGCAATGATAAACTAAAAATAAGTGGTGTTTTAACATTTGATTCTCTGGTTTTATTTACCATCTGCTTTTCTGGTGTACAACTGATATAACTTTGTTAACATGTTGGTCAAAAAAATACTTTGGAATGTAAAAGTTTTTTACCTAAACCATCTCCTTGACAATAAAAATGAGGTTCATCATGCGATTCGTTTAGGTCTTGGGGTTCTTCTTCCAAATTGCCACCTAAAAGTTGTAGTAACCAATTTGGAAATCCATTTGCAGTTACTGAAAGTGTTCACTTTATTTTTTTTAACTTTACCTTTACCCTAACAGACATTGCTTTCAAAAAATCTTAGTTTGATTCATTAAACCAAGTCAATTACAACTGTATAAAATGCCTGCCTGGGTTTTTTATAAGCCAAAAAACAAAAAGTACCCAAGTCTATACTTAAACATACTTTGCTTTTTTTACCTAAGTTGCTGTTATCAGGCATCTGTCTTACACCAATTATCAACATATTATGAGTTTCTTCGTCAGATGTTCTATTTTCAGCATCATTCAAAAGAGGTATTTCAAAGTCTTCTAACAAATCGATTTGAGAATTTGAATCGCACACGGCTTCTCTACTGCAATCTTCTGTACTGTCCTCATTGTTGGCAGTTATTTGGTTAATCATGTAATTCATGAGATCCTCTACTGACTTAGTAGCACAATTGTTATTGGTCATGTTTTCTTTTTGCGTTAACATTTTTTCGTTATCTTGAATAACTACAAATGATTCTTTATTGATTAAAGAGGTATTTTCAGTAGGTTTTCGAATTTCTGTGACAGATTCCGTCAAATTTAACTCAATAAGACCATCGCGATATATTTTGGGCTCATCTTTCACATCGAGAATATTTAAAGTGTTGTGCAATAAACAATTTATTATTGCCTTTACATCCTCTAAAGGGTTATCAAGAGTATTATTCGGCCACCAGGTTATTTTAAACTTCTTTCTCTTCTTAACATTTGAAGGACCAGGCAGTGACTCTTTAATATTCTTTAGCTGGTTTTGCTTTGACAAGTAACTCTTGTAGGCCCTAGTAGACGGGAATTTGTACGTCTGATTTTGGTTGCCCATAGCATCCAACTCGTTTATTTTATCGGGCTCTAACTTTGACAACTCCGGAGTTATAGCAATTATGGTACTTGTTACGCACAACTTTCGTTCATCCAAAGAACTCGACATGCTTAGGTTTGCATCTTGAAAAAAATCGGAGTCGATTGAGAGGGTATTAAATGTCTCAGTTAGAGAGTTTAGAGTAAATGAAGAACTGTGGATGTTTGAGTCAAAAAGTAAAGGTGATATTTTAATTGTTGGGGTTGCAGCTAGGGATTCGCTTTTCTATGACCTTTTTCTTTCTTTTTTATCCTTTTGTTTTTTTAGTTCATTACCTGTTAAAACCCTTACTTTAACATTAAGGGTTTTAAACTTTTCAAAGCGTACAAGAAAATTTGTTGGTTACTTACGGTGTTTGTTTTGGTTGTCTTTTTGGCTGGATTCATCCCAATCCGACATCGATTCAGCTTTAAAAACTTGATTTTCAGATGATTCATAACCAGAAGCCTCTGATTCACTGGTTGTATCATCCATAACAGGTTCATACAAAACGCAAATTTCACGTCTTCCGGTTTCCTGTATTATGCATTCTTCGGTTTTGTAACCGATTTTCTGCAAGAGGGTACTGAAAGGAAATAATGATAATGATTACTGGAATTTAAAATAAATGATTGTTAATTTGACAGAATTTAATGATCACCCAAATTATTGAATTCATTGTTGGGGCATTGCATCTAATAGTTCTTTGAACTACTTTTGATGAATTTTATTATACCTCCGATGTAAAAGAATGACAATTTTACACTAGGGAAGAAAAACTTTTAAAATATGGCAAACATATAATTGGGATATTTTGTTTTACTTTTTGGCACTCGGCACTGTATACTAGACTGGGCCAAAAAAATCAACTATTTTTTTTTGAAAAGTATATCGAAAATATAGTTTGGGGCGAGAAAAAAAATTATTGTGAAAGTTTGAGTCAATAATATTATTATTAAGAGGTCTATCATCGCAATTTTAATTTTTTTCCCTCATCAAGTTTTTGTCTCAGAACTCCCAAACCATTGAGTTTAAAAAAATTTACTTGAAAATATTTTTTTAAGAAAATTAAATGCTCTACAAAAAAGGTTAAATAAAATTTTTCGTCAGATAAACCGTTTCCTTAAAATCATGCCCTAAACATTGTTATAGTTTTACATTTTGATCTTTTAACTTTGGAATTTTGAAATTCACGTAAAAATCAGTACCCAAAACCGATAAATATTCTTATGTGAAATCAAATGCTTTACAAAAAAGCCTCTTAACATTTTTGGCTAAATTTTGGCAAGAATTTCGTTTTGACTTCAACTTTAACCTTGAATAACTTTTGATTGAGTGAATTTAGCCAAAAATGTTAAGAGGCTTTTTTTGTAAAGCATTTGATTTCACATAAGAATATTTATCGGTTTTTTATGGGTACTGATTTTTAAGTGAATTTCAAAATTCCAAAGTTAAAAGATCAAAATGTAAAACTATACCATTTTTTTTAAGATCTTTATTTTTGTTTTAGGGCATGATTTTAAGGAAACGGTTCATATGACGAAAAATTTTATTTAACCTTTTTTGTAGAGCATTTAATTTTCTTAAAAAAATATTTTCAAGTAAATTTTGTTAAACTCAATGGTTTGGGAGTTCTAAGACAAAAAGTTGATGAGGGAAAAAAATTAAAATTAAATTTTTATGGGTACTGATTTTTAAGTGAATTTCAAAATTCCAAAGTTAAAAGATCAAAATGTAAAACTATACAATTTTTTTAAGATCTTTATTTTTGTTTAGGGGCATGATTTTAAGGAAACGGTTCATCTGACGAAAAATTTTATTTATCCTTTTTTGTAGAGCATTTCATTTTCTTAAAAAAATATTTTCAAGTAAATTTTGTTAAACTCAATGGTTTGGGAGTTCTGAGACAAAAACTTGATGAGGGAAAAAAATTAAAATTGCGATGATAGACCTCTTAATACCTAATAATATTATGGACTCAAACTTTCACAATAATTTTTTTTTGTCGCCCCAAACCATATTTTCGATATACTTTTCAAAAAAAAAATAGTTGATTTTTTGGGGTATAGATAATATACGTAGACCGCCATTTTTATTCTCCTTCTAAGGGTTAAACCCTTTGTCCATAGTACGTCACACCCTTTTAGGAAATTTAAGACTCCCCTCCCCATGTCATGCATAACAGCATTATAATACTGCACTGCTAAGCTCCTTAAGTAACAAGGCCGTGGTCAATGGGGGGATGAGGGGGTTTAATCCTCCCCGAAATTTTATAAAATTAAATTATTATTAACCAATCCCATCGAAACTTATTTCTTGCTACGGCCTTGTTAAGTAATTAATTAAGTAATATAAGACAAAATATCATTTTAATTGTTAAAAACAATACAAATTATATTTTGCCCTCTATTATTTATTATTACAGGTACGGTGGTTTAGCTAAGCACGACAGAATAGCACAAGATGTCAAAGTCTTAACCTCCTCCCCATAAACATGTGACGTACCTTAAGGTATAATTACACTGTAGGGAGGTGAAAATATCACAGCTAAACGCTCGGACACGTAAACTTCATTTTTGGTCGTAGATTACAAATCCGTGCTTGGTTTAGCTGTATCAGGTCAAAATTCAAAGATATTGGAAACACCCTGTATAAATTTAAACACCCTGTATAAATTTAAAAAAAAAATTAAATTTGGCGGGACCCACACATCAGTTCCAAATTCAAAAAATAACAAATTCTTGCAAACTTTGAAGTTAATTGATCAAAAGATACACGTGTCCCTAAGGGTTTTTCTTAGACTATTCCACTCATTATTTTTTGGACCAATCAGATTTCAGAAAACGAGTGTTTTTTTCAGTTTTGCAGCGATAAAACTACTATTCAGGTGAAAATTCCACACCTGTAATTTTTAACCAATCAAAACGTGTATTTTTGAAAGATCACCATGGCAACGGATGAATTTTAGTGGAAATTTTTTTTCTCGTGGGTACCCAACAGCGAATTATACTGGAAATTTTTTGACGTTTATAATGACAGAATATTTTTTTGATAATCCGGATTTTATTTGTTTACATGATAATTTTGAAACATTTCAATTACAAACCAAAAATGTTTTCTATATTCTTTGGACACCTCCTTTCTTCTTAATGGCGAAAATGCAGGAATTGGAATGGAATGAATTAAATATCTATGTCTAATGATATATATATAATATTTAGACACTATTCTATTCACCTTTTTTCCATTTAGCACTTTGAATTTTTAATACTAGTATTCGCGGGTGTCAACTGCTTAATCTCCGCCAGGGCGAATATTTCCTTTGCTTTCTTGACCGAAGGGAAACATTTTTTTACGTCGTGCCGCTTGACAGTTTCAAAACTGAAATAACTTTTAGGTTGGGGTTGACTTAGTTGCCATGGTAACTAAATAATTAAGTCGAGGTGAAGTTAAATCAAAAAATAAATTTTAATTATTTAAACACAATTTGGTGTGGAATTTTCTTACCGAATACCACACGAGGTCAAATTAAATCCGGAAATTTTTTGACCTCTAGTGGTATTACTAGTGACTATTTCCCTCGTCTTAATTTCCACCAATCACAAACGCGCAATTTTGAATTACAAATGGTTTCTAGGTGAAAAAACTGTGTGACAGCACCTGTCAGCAGTTTATTCGAGTTTACCCGCGGCAAAACTTGACAGCTGTTGTCACCAAAAATTGCAATTTATATTTTAATTGTTAACTGTTACTCATGAAATAGTCTTGTCAAATACCATTCGGGCATCTAATTTTTCCTGTGAAAAAAATCTAAAAAACACAATGCTAAGTAATATTTCTAACAAAATGCATTCGTGCAGGTGCAAAAATCCTCCTCTTCGACTCGGATTTTTGTTGCCACCAGCACTCATGCTTTTTGTTAAAATATTACTTAGCAACGTGTTTTTTCGATTCTTTTCGGAAAAATTAAATGCCCTTATGAAAAAACCACTCGTTTATACTTGTGGCATAGCAACCTATTGGTTACTATGCGAAAAATAATTTTCAATGTTGACGTTTCTAATTTAAAAGAAAAATGTCAAAAAAAAATGCGTTTCGGTCAAAAAAATCATGCAGAAATTGAATCCGCAGTTAAAGAAACAGTGCCTAAAAACACCAAAAAAACGAATACATCCATTTGGAAGCAATTTATGGATTTTTGTGAGGCAAAAGGATACCAGTTGCTGCAGTCTACACCACTAAGTGAACTTGAAAATATATTAGAAGATTATGCGTTCAATATGAAGAAGCTGGATGGGTCTGACTATAAAGAACACTGTATAAAGACGTTATGGAACGTGACAGCAAAGATGTTACAAGAAAAATACTTTACAGAATACAACATTGTTTTTAATCCCTTCACAGACCTGCAGTTCCAAAAGGCGCGTAATGCGCGCAATGCCAAGAGGAAAATATTGCAAAAAGAAATTAAAAATCAAAAAGTTAGTTCAAAAGCACTTGATATAAAGAATATTTACAAAATGGTGTCTCTTTGGGATGAAAACTGCCCGGATGGATTGCAAAGGAAGATTTTTCATATTTGTTCTTTTGAACTTGCATGGAGGGGCAATGAAGCTGCGTACAGTAAAATACATTTTTTAAAAAAAGAACTAGATTCAGAAGGAAAGTTTATGGAAAGAATTGAATATAATACAATATTTTCTAAAACAAATCAGGGAGGGTCAAAACAACTGTCAACGAGCAAATGGCTAGTTAAAAACAACCAAAAACCAGAATTTTGCCCTGTTCGATTGCTTTTAATGCTACTGTCAAAAAGAGGTAAAAACATTACAACTGACAGGCTGTTTATTACACCTAACCCAAACTGGCAAAAAGGGCCCTGGTTTAAAAATTCTCCACTGGGTGTCAATAACCTCTCTAAATGGACCAAAACATCAGCTGAAAAAATAGGTTTGGACACCAAAAATAATAAAATAACTAACCACTCCCATCGTTCTTCGGCTGTTTCCACATTAGCCAAGCAAGGAATAGGAGAACAACAACTAATCAAGATAACTGGGCACTCGCACGGGCAGTCCATCAAACCTTATCTTCAGCTTGATGCAGCACATCATTCTAATATGGTAGAAAAAATGAGACCAGTTGAAGTGGAAAATCGAATTGAAGGTTCATCTTTTATTCCCTTCACAAATTCTTTGAACACAGTTCACCATGAACATCAAAACCAGCAAGCTGCTGTTTATCAAAACTGCAATTTTACTATTAATAATTATTACAAATGATTTTCATATTACATTTTTGTTAGGTTTTGATTAGTTTTTCTAGTTTGTAAGTTTGGTTAGGTTTTGTAGTTTCATTTGAAAATTTAATGCTTGAATAAATATTTAATTAAAACCTTTTTTGTACCTAAAAAAATATTCGTGAAATAGTCTTGCCGAATACCACTCGTGATAAAATTTTCCCTGAAAAAATTTTACCACTAGTGGTATTATATACGATAATTTAGGATATTTGAAATGTTTTTTTGGTTATTTTTTTTTATTGAGTATAATTGAGGATATTATATTAAATGAAATAAAAAGCATA